ACTAATTATCTTTAAACCCTTGGGTTCTAATAACTTTTTTATTGGATTTTATTTAATCCTAATTATCACAACAATGTGTATGAGCGTTGTCCTGGTAATGTCGAGGCAAACATTATATATATTACCTTTGTTCGGGTATTTCTACCACCAAAAGTAAGTTCAAGTCAATATGTGATTGATCTAATAGAGCCTATAATTTGTGTCAAGGAGCTTCGGAGGATTGGTGGATAGATGATCATGCTAGTGTGTTAAATGTGTGAAAAAAGGGCTTTTAAAGAGAAAAGCTATATTATGATAAATGTGTGTGTGTGTGTGTGTTAATACTTTGATTTTCTTACTTTGGCATGGTTATTTGTGTTAATAGACATTAAATAAACTATATTGGTCACCGAGATTTTGATCTCACCCATAGTTATTTATATTTTTCATGTTCTAGCAGTTGTAGTGCTCAAGGGAAAGATTCAGGCTAAGAATTATGATTTTCTTGATAAAGCCTTATAAGAATTGGTGTAATGAATTTGTATATAAGTAGTAGTAAATGTGTATATAAGTTGCCTTGGGAAACATATGCATTTTACTATGAGTTTTTATGGTGTTTAGTGCTTTGTTTTTCCCTAGCCCTATGTATATGAGTGTATATGATGAAATGATAGTGTGGATTAGTGGGAATGACGAATGTGGGATATGTATGTGAACTTAGCCTTGTGTATAAATGAAATTGAGGAAATATAAATTTGCCCAAGTTATATGTGATAGGCAGTTTACAAGCCAATTGTGTGTATGCGTGTTATATTACAGATATAATTGGTCAATCAGATATATATTGTCCAATTGGACGTGATCAAGACCCTAAACATGGCTAATGACTTATGGTTTTGATTAGAGATGCTCACATGGCATATTTTAACTTAAAACAATCAAAATGCACTTGAGTGTCCAATTTTCAAACGAGGTATTAGATTTAAATGAAACCAATGTCATTGGTTAGATGTTGAAACAAGTTTTGCATAAGTGCTTAAACCATCCCAATCGAATATCGAATGCAAAAACAGCATACTTCTAAGGTTCGTATCAGAATCAAAAATTTGACAATAAATTCTACTACGTGCACCATGGCACATGGCACAGAGCGGGCAGCTGGGATCTCTATGCCACATGCCACAATGCATGAGGCACGAGCCGTGACACATGGCCCTTATTTGATTTAGTTTGGTTGAATTATACATGTTTTCTAGTTGATTTTAAGATGTTATTGGATAATGCTTCCGTTGTGTAATGTTTTACCACTTGTGTATATATATATATATATATTATTAAATGGTTTTAAAAAAATTTTATATTGGGATTCCAAAGTTTTCAAAGTTAATTATTTTGGTTAATAGTTAGCATGGTGGGTTGTATGGTAATATCGTTAAGGACATTACAAAACCAAAGTTTAAAACAAGCTTAATAAAATAATGGAAGCATAGAAACATAAATTAAGTCATACAATAATCAAAAGGGAAATTTGAACACCTTTCAAATTGCACTATCCATTGTGGCAAATAGCAAGCTAAAGAAATGCTATGGCCAGGTCAATGGCGTTCTTGAATGTCAGAGTTGTCAAAATTAGAGGTTCATGGCGAGTCAGTGACTACTGAATGCTAACTAGAATGAGAGGCAAAGGATTTTGAATGGTTGGGGAGTGGAGACTCTAAAATGCATTTAACTGGAGATTATAGAGAAACTAGGTTAAGGTTTCTTCTTTCTTGAAATGAAATGAGAAGGCAGGGGTGGACAAAATTTAAACCACAGCTTGACAAGACAGGGGTTGGCTACACATCAACATATTTTTTAAATTTTTTATTCACCTAAGGTAAGGTTGGACAACATTGTCCAACACTTCAACCTTAACCCTAGCCCTACCCGATGGTTTAACCCTACCCAACCATGCTCGATATTCTTTAGGCAGCTTTTTCATCCATTGAGTAAGGCATTTTATTGTCAGACCTTGTCGAGCATATCGGGTTTTTGGGAACCTTGAACCACCCTAAGTACCACATCACATGAATTTCTAAAATATCAACCATTCAAATATAAATCATGATTTTTATAATAAAATATAGATATACATATTCACTTTCATAAACCTTATAAACATTCAAATACACAAGTGAAAGGATTAAATTGTCTGGTTACTTGAACCCTTTGTCACAAAACTAGTTATCGTGGCAATTACCAACTCTACAAGGTCTACTAGCTCAATGGGGCTCAATCAATATTTATTCTACAAGATTAAACAATAATTTATTATAACTTTAATTAAATCCCTTCTTTAGCCTAATTTTACGTACCCGCAATACCCAAATTTCTTTAACACAAATAACACTTACACAATACTCTATTAATTTCATTTAACACCTAAGCACTCAGATAATGTTAGTTCTTCATCCACATTACTCCTAATATTACAAATTTCATTTAAGGTTTATCCAACCCTAACCAAAAGGTTCCAAATCACTACAAAAACCTTAAACTAAGGTTTTAGAAGTTTAATTTAACTTCTCAAAGCCCTAACTAAGTTAATGGGTTTGGTCAAAACCCGAGGAGAACTGAGAATCAACACCCATTCAAACTAAATCAACAAAAATTCACATAGAGATGGAGAGTGGATAGGAAGCTTACCCAAGTATGTGGCTAGCTCAAATTGCCTCCAAATTGTCCACAAAGTAAAGCCCTAGTAGAGCCACCAGCCTTTTATATTGCCCTTCTCATTTTCTTTCTTTTATTCCTTCTGCTTTGAACACGTGCAACAATATGATAAAACCATATTTTTGTTCATTCGCCATGGTGCATGGCATGTTTATCGTAATGGATGGCACAGTGATGATCAGTATATTTTGGGCCTCACTTTGATGCCCCATTCACATGAACTCCAATCTAGCTCTCTTCTAAGGTTGTCCAATGATCCAATAACCTCATTAGCCATCCAAAAATATCATTAATTAATTAATCACTCAACTTTACCAAATTTACCCCCTTTTAAACACAAAAATTTAAAGTTAAAAATTGATGATATTACACCATACCTTTTTATTCATTATCATTTTAAATATTAATCATTGATATAGTAGTTATGTCATTTTATTATTTTACTCATATAGGTAATTGCACTATTTAACACTTAAAATAATTTGCAAAAATAACATCCCATGCACCAATGCATAGGTGATTAGCTAGTTATGGGTAAAAAAAGTATATTGGCCCCTAAACTATGGTTTGAATTCTTTTTACAAGAGGTGTTAATATTTAGTGTCCAACTATATCACGAATAGAATTTTCTCCAATAAGAAGATACATGTAAGTAATAAAAAAATTATTTTTTTTTGCAAAATTTTTTATTTTTGTGCATATTAAAAATATAAACATTTTATTTTATTTTTGAACTTATTACCCCTTGAAAAATTAAAACATAATTAGAAAACTATATATATATATATAGTATGATAATATGATATTATAAAAATATAATATAAAACTAGCTTTAAAATGTTTGTAGTCACAATTAAATATGCTTTATTTTTGTAACAATATAAAAAAGTAAGTATAAAATAGTCATATAAATTATTTTATCATATTAATAATTAAAAATATAATATAATATATGTATATCATTTTAATAATATATTATTTGATATATGTATGTAGTTAAATAATATATATATATATATATAAAATTTTTCATATAATAATTATTATATAAATAAGGTTCACTTTCCTTATTTTCACTCTCTTCCAATTTTCTTGCTGCAAGAGATTATTCTTACACTTTACAGATGCTATAATTACCAAATCATATTTTAGAGTATCATTTTTGTCATTCACTATCATTCCCATTAACTCGGATATTGAGCATAACTTGAATATTCTTAAATAAGAAATAAAAATTCTTTGAAATGAAATAAATCAAAAATTATATGAAAATAAAAAAGTGATTATCATAAATACCTCCTCATTATAGTACACTTTAATCATTTTTAGAATGTTCTACATAACGGGTGACTTCCCCTTAAATTTTTGGGCGATCTAAAACTGTTTTTTAAAAATATTTTTGGTAATAATTTATTTTAAATGAAGGAGAATATATAATATTTTGAAGTTCATATTAAAATTTATGAGAAAAAGAATATTTTAATTTTCAAGCATAAAAATAAAATAATGAGATGAGATTTGAATAATCTATTTGAGCGTGACTGATGTTTAAATTTAGATTCGATTGTAGCGTTGGACATAGATTGTTATTTAAAAGAAAAAAAGAAAAAAAAGAAAAAGACAATTGTCTAAATGAAAAATTACTAAAAGGCCTCATGAAATGCAAAAATAACTCTCAAGTTTCATAGGCCTTTATTATAAATAAGTTTTAATATACATTTACCAAAATACCCTGATCAAAAAATTAAAAAAAAAAAAATCTCTCCTCACGGTCATTTTAGTAAAAGTACTCCAAAACTAATGTCCAATTAAGATATATGGGATTTAAAGTTAATTTTACACTTCATTGGACTTTTTAAAAATTAAATTCCTTCTGTGGACCTCTCAATGATTTTTCCTATATAAATACTCTGAGAAAGAATCCCAATTCGGAATCGGGAACCCAGAGCACAACCTAAAAAATACCATCAACATGGGACAGTATTGTAATTTCAACCTTAAAGTGATCGTTGTATATTGGGGTCAAACTGGTTGTATGTATGAAGCCCACAGGATTTAGAAACCGCGTGGGTACGTTAGTTCACATTTATCCAATTGGCAATAGCCATTAAATTAAATTAAATTAAAATTAAATCTAAACTCGGGACTCAGCCGCTTAAACTTTCATATCATAATGGATAACGCCACGTCAACGTGTCCGAAAAGACATTTTACCCTCGCCGGAATATTCCTCACCGACCGGCTATGTCCAAATTCCCAACACGTCTAGCGATTTCCCGAAAACTATATATATCTCTCTTTCATCCAAATTTTTGCCCTAGAAACCCTCGTTTCGCCTCCTCTAGCCGCAACATGCTCTTCCCCACCAACCACTCAATTTCTCTCCGGTCTCCCCTCAAAAACTCAGTAAATCCACTGCTTCTCGCTGGGTTTTTTCTGGAAATTTGTTTCGTATGCCTGTTAGGATGAACCTCTTTTGTTTATTCCCTAGGATCTTGAGTTTTCGAAGATGTTAGCTGCTTCCTCTTGATCTCCCAGTCGTGTAATTTCAAGAGGAAATTTTGCTCACTGCGATGGATACTGTGGAATTACCTTTTCCCGTAGACGTCGCACCAGCTCCCACGCTGATAGCGCCCGAGGGTTTAGTCAGAGCTGGGGTTACAGTCAAGGAGGTGGAAGGTCGGGGATCTGATCGCGTTTCCATTGTAGCCAACCATTCGATTTATTATTGCGACCCGCGACTTGAAAATGGTGGGTGGTTCTCGTTTTTTTCGCCTGAGCTCTCGAATGTGTGCTATTCCTGAAAGTTCCCTTTTGTGCCCTTAATTTTTTAATTAAATGTTATAAAAATTGCTGTTTAATCTGGTTGGGAAATATGCTTTACTTGCATTACAATTAGGTGTTTTATTTATTTGTTTGTTTATTTTTGTATGTGGGATATCCTTGAAATTATGAAAACTTTGGATTCTGAGATCTCACAATTACTTTAAGAAAAAAGGTCAAGTATAGAATTTCCTTGCTACTGCATAGTTTCCTGATGTTATTATAAGAATGTTCCTTATATTCTCATCTCATTAGACTGAAAGGTACCCTAACCACAGTTATGAAGATTTTTTTTGTTTTGGCAATTTTCGATGCATAACTGAAATGTACACTTGATGTTATAAAGGAATGTTTTGTTTGTTTTGTGAATTAATGGGATCATATTGAATCGAGGAATCGATATTTCACACCGACATAGCAACATGACAAAATTTGACGTATATATAGGTCATGTAGTTTCATGTCGTGTCCAGTATGAATATTCGATCCGTCAAACCTGCAAACAACATTTTTATGGGTGTTTGTGCTCCATATTAAAGGACTAAATGAAGTGTTTTGCGAAACGCCTGCCAACTGTTCTGGCCTTGATAGATACACTGATTCTCTTTGCTCCAGGATTCTGTTTTAGTTTACCCCAAGTTTTATGGTGGGATTCAACCTGGGCTCTCCTCTGTTTTCCTCAGCCATGAATAGCACACTTTAGTGGGTTCAACACTAGGAGATAACGCAATGAATTAACCCTGTGTCATTCTGGTAGATCTATTATGTATTTGCGGCCCTTAATCCCCTAAGTGAGAGTTTCTTGTACGCTGGTTGAAGTAGATGTTGACTTGGTTAACTACATGGAAATGTTAAATGTTACTGAAATTAATAAATCTTGTTAGTTTTAACATATAGTTATGGCTGAAATGGTGATTTTATAGTTTACAGATCAACCAAAAAGCCATTGAACAGTTCAATTCATTTGAAAAGAACTTATTGTTTGAGGAGTTTCTTATCCAACAACTTTCTGTACTCTATTTTCTTAGTGACACTTATTTTGTGAAATAATTAAATAAGCTAAGGTCAAACTGAGTATCTTCTATGCTTGCCACATTGACCAAGCATTTCCCTTGGGCAGAGTATGTTATCAACGTCACTCCTAAACTTTTGATATGCTTATTTCTTTTGCCTGTCTATATATTGTTGGTTGGTTACGAATGCTTTCCTATTTTTGGGATGCTCCTTTAAATGGCCTTATTGAGGCAAATTTTGTTTGTATCAGATGTTGCAAATGTGAAAAGTGATACTGAGTTTCGCTCTGGAGATGGATTTCCTGAGACTGAGCTCATTAAGAATTCTAGCATGCTGCCCAATCTTCAGTGTGAAGAGGTATCCAATGGTACGCATGCCAAAGGAAAAAATTGCCGAGTAATTTCTTCCAAACATGAAGGTTTGCCATTCCAACAGAAAGCAGGAAAAGTTCACAGGAGTGTTTCTTCAAGTTCGAAGAGGCTGCGAATATTAGAAGATTCTACAGACCTGAAAGGAATTGAGAATTCAAAGGAATCTTCTGATAAGCATGCATCAAATCATATAAAGTGTGATTCTTCAGGTATAATTCTTTTGACTGTGGTTAGTACTCAAATTACCTGTCAATAATCTATTAATTATCCTACATCTATGTTCTTCTAAACTTTCTTTATCTTGGGATAGAAAAAAGTCAAGTATCAAAACAAAAGAGCAATGGTAGCAAGCGTGGGGATAAGAAGAACATTAAAGTTCCTTCGAAGGCTAAATTTGACTCATCATCTATGAAGTTGGGTGCAGCAGTCTTCAACTCTGCCTGTGGAGGGAACAACTTTTTTGGTATAATTTTGGGCATATTGTATTTTTCTACAAATGATCATAAACCTCCTGTCTCTTCACTTCCTTCATGGCTATGTCCTTGTTTGATTATTTCCCTGGTATATATGTACTACCATGTTTTAAGTTATAACTCAGTGTATAACTTCACAGCATCCCCCTTTCAACCTGTTTGAAATATGATTTTGGTGTTTGTAGCACGTTATCTGACAATTATCTCATCTGTTTAATAAATTCGAAAAAAACCTTTAGTTAGTCAACTTTTGTACTATGTAAATGACTGAATGTACGTTCTATTCTCTATTAATTATCATAACAAAAGAGCAACGGTGGCAAGCATGAAGATAAGGAGAACATTATAGTTCCTTCAAAGGCTAAATTTGACTTATCGTCTATGAAGTTGGGTGCAGCAGTCTTCGACTCTACCTGTGGAGGGGACAACTTTTTTGGTATAGTTTTGGGCATATTGTATTGTTCTACAAATGATCATAAACCTCCTGTCTCTTCACTTCCTTCACGGTTGTATTCTCACGTGATTATTTTCCTGGTATTCTACACCATGTTATAGCTCAGTGTATAACTTCACAGCATCAACCTTTCAACCTGTTTGAAATCTGATTTTGGTATTTGTAACATGTTATCCGTCAATTATCTCATCTGTTTAATAAATTGGAAAATAACCTGTGGTTAGTTGACTATTATGCTACGTGAATGTACATCATATTCGCTTAAAGAAATATTTAAACATTAAGTATTCTGAGGTCTTGTTTTTGGCACTCTGGTTGTAATGGTATAAAGCCAAAAATTGGTCTATTTTGGACTTATATTTTGTTAGCTTAAAAGCAATGAAGCGGTTTCGGCCTCTTATATTATTGACATTATATTACAGGGTCTGTTGGTTGTAATGCTTCAATGTTTTATGGAGTTTCTGCCTATTAAAATGCCATGCTTCAAATGACTATAATTGTTTTTGTATTTGGACTGCAGTAGAAGCACTTATTGATAGTCAGTTTTTTGTCCTTTTAGATCTTCAGAGTATCATTATTTATGTTCTATTCTAAATTGCAATTCTCATTTTTCGGCCAACTAAATTTTTTCCATGAGCATAACGAAAATTTGGCATATTGATAAGATTTTATTCATATACCTGATTTTTTTTTTTTTTTGGCGTTCTGATGCTCTATAACTGCTATTATTAAGATGACCTTGTGTGCATTTCAAATGAAATTTTTTGTTGCTGTTGCCAGGATTGTATGGTCTAAAGCATGATATTCATGATGTCACAAAGCCTGTGGAAGAGCCAACATTAGATGAGCTCCTTAAAGGCACTTTTGACTGCCCTAGTTTGGGAAAAGATAAGGGGAAGAAAACATCAAATATTAGTGACAATTTTTTGAGCTCTGTTAGGAAGGCTTGCTCCATCCTTCACGTCCTGAAATCTGTTCAACCCCAAAGCATGGCTGAGATTGACAGCTCCTCCAGCAGGAAAATGTCTGCTTCTGAATCAAGTTCGGTTTGTGTCGTAGAAAGTGGTGATAATAGGGATAAAGAGCAGTCTTTTGCAACAGATATGTCTATATGTCACAAGGTAAGTGTGGATAATTTTGTGCTCAGTGTTGAGCTGCCTCTTAACTAAAACATGCTTTCTGCATTTGATTTCCTTAATCTCTTCATATTTAAGCAGAAACGTTTTGCTTGTGCATGTATTTTGGCATGGTGCCTATGCTAGTTTATCTTCATGTTATTAATGTTGTCTGTGGTGGTAACGAGAATTTATATTTGTTAATGACACACAGGAACCTTCTAGTGAAACTGAAACTCCAGTTAGTCCACTTGACTTTCCATTATATCAACCTAAGGATATCTTGGAACGCATTGCACTCCCCCAATCTCGGGATTTGGATTCTTTGCTCCTTGATGCATCCAAGGCTGTTGTTACCTCAAAGAGTAATAGTGATCTTCGTACAGTCAAGCATGTCAGTCGTCGACCTAGCTTGACAGCCTTTCCATGGTCTCATAATTTCAGTGGTCATTGTAGAACTAATTCTGATGCAGTTAGGTTATCAAGTAGAATCACGTGCCCAGGTAAATGGGCAAAGATAGGATTTGTTGCTAGCTTTATGGGAATGGATCTTGGAAGCTTCACGAACCTTGATTCATTCAGTTATGATCAGACTCTAGTTCCTTCAGTTGGTAGTTCAGACAATAAAGGTTTTCTGCCTTCATGTGCCAACATTCCTTTCTGTCATTGGGTTTTGTCATCTTCTGTAACATGTTCAAAAGGATCTCAGGTTACTACAGGTACATTTTTATCTATCAATACCTGGATTTCTGTTACCATGTTGTTTTAATTTCTTCTGCCATCTGGCCACTCCTTTTTCTCTAGAAATACTAAAGCGGCATTTTATTTTTATTTTTCCCCCCATGAAAATGCAGATTTTGAAGGCCAGGTCGATGGTAAAAAATATGGTATGTTCTTATTAAATACCACAACGCATCTTTTGCTAATGTGCATGCACTTGTTTGGCTGTTTCTATACCCCACTTTTCTTCTGTGTGCGCTTTTGTTCCTCTTGATTGAGCAATCTGAGACCTTATGAATTACCTATTGGAATCTCCATTTGCGAACATTCCTTTTGAGATCTGAAATATTTTTGTCCAAGGTTTGATATTTAAATCTTTGGAAACAACGTTACTGACTCCTGGCTTCTCTTGAAAATTGAAAAAATTTACTGAATTTGCAGTTGCAATTGAAATTCCCTCCCCTTTTCTTTTCTTTCTCCTCCTGTTTAACATATTTTGTGTCGACAGATGGAAATTGTTCAAAATTATTAGCTGCTGCACAAACTCTATATGAAATGGCAACTAGCTCACCAACGCAGAATGAGGGCACATCAGGGTGGCAGAAAAAGGCTTCACAAAAGTCCACAAAAGCTCGCAACTGGAAATCAAACGAGAAATCTGAGGAAATGATTTCGAAATCAACGTCAGCTATTGGATCTGATCAGTTAACCAGAAGTGCAGGGCAGATGATGCCCTCGAAGAAGCCGAGGCTTTCCATAATCAAGAGTAAGGACGGCGGTCCCTCTAATACTGTCAAGAAAGGACCATATGCATGGCCAACTTCAAAATCTAGTAGATCGTTACCGAATAAATCAATTAGGGAACCCATTGTGGAAAATAAACATTCAAACCCCGGCATCCTGAAGCAACATAGTATGATGCCACCTCCTCCCACTAGGGTTCTTGACAAGGCCTTTGACAGTCAACAGAAGGTCAGAAAAGTGGTGTTGATGGATTGGAAAAGGCAAGGGACAAGTCAGGTTGATCGAGCTTTTTCAAGCACGCAGTAGAAGCACCAACCCTTGACAGATGTGATTACCAAAAATGTTAGGTTGCTAGTGAAATGCTGCTTCGTACATATGCCATGGCGGCAATGAGATTTATTGTTGTAACTTGTTGTAATATGTTCAATGGAGAGCGCGATTCAAATGTTGTAACATCAAAGACAGGTGTACAAAACAAGCCGAAGAATTCTTTGCCTTCTGTAGATGATTTTACGAGGCAATAGAAAGTTTATGTTTGTGTATGTCTCTGTTGGTTAAATTGCTTGTAGTTGTAACTTACACCATACAGCATCTACTTGTGCTGCTTTGAAGGCCAGAGCATAAGAAGTATTCCTAGATATTGCATGAAAATATACAATCTGGATATACCCTATAGCATTAGATGTCTAAAATATGTTGAAGTCATGATTTTAGTTATCAGATTGTTTTAACAGTGAAGATCGTATAATGATTGATGGGACTAGTCGATTTATCTCGCATGTCCATATGAGACTTACAAACATCTCTTTTTCTTCCTCCACTTGTTCTCATGTATACCTCTATGCTACGAGTTGGGATGCTTATCACATTGATGAACATTATGATTGTTGAATCATATATTTTGATTATTACAAAACTAAAAGAAGAGGTGTATGTTACTTGTACAGATATCAAAAAATCCATAATGTAACAAAACCTCTAAGAACTTGAAGAATCAAGAGAAAAAAAAAAAGATCTATAGGTTTACGTCATTTATCTCTTTTAGGTTCAATGTGAAAACTATGAGAGCTTAATTACATATTATTAATTCGTAAGTGAATGCATCATCTTAAGCTCATAAGTCTTATTTGTGCATTATAAGTCTTGTCTTAGTCAATTCAAGCTTGAAAGTTAAGATAATTCATGCTTGAATTAGATCATAGAAGTTGATCTTTTCTGCTTGACGTTTCATACTTGAATCAAAATGAATCCACACGTGATTTGTCATTATAAGTACACTCACTGACATTTCACGCATGAATCAGAAGTGGTCCACACATGATTTGTCACCTTTATTTATATGATGCCTTGATGAAGCTTCTATGCTCCAATTCACGGCTAAAAGGTTTTTGTACGCACGCTTGAATTGTCACTTTGTGTTTTGTTTTTTTTTTTTTGGCATTTTGAGTTGTGATGTTTCATGCCTGATTTGTCATTTGGTTTCTTGAATACATTTTTAGCCTAAGTGAGCCTAAAGCCAATTCAAACCTAATTCATAGTGTGCACTTGCATGATTTGTCACTTATAAAAACCAAGTTTTCTTATCATGCAATCCATGCTTGAATGCATATTAGTTCCACATGTAATTTCTCTCACAGAATTGGTCATGTTTTGACTAAGCCATTTCACATGTGAGAGATAGAGTGTCCCACACGTAATTTGTCGTCCAAATTAGCTTGGTTTTTAACCAATCATTTTACACATGTTATTAGAATGTACCATGCATGATCTGTCACTCAAATTGGCTTTAGCATTCTGCCAGCCAATTTATGTGTGAGAGTATGAGGGAACCATGCTTGATTTGTCACACAAAATGATATGTATCTTTCACCTTACAAATCACATGAGTCATCTTAGTGTTCATACTTGAATTGTCATACATGCTTGATTAGAACTTGCCTAAGCTCCATTACACATGTGAATCTTCTAATTGCATGCAAGAAATTTCAATAATAGCTACATTCACTATTCTAATAGTATGAACATTGCAAAATTATATATATGACACAACTTCAAGTGTAGAAAGAGAATTTCTGATCATTGAGTAAAAAATTCTAAGTTGAACAATTTCGAAAACATTCAATTTGTGTATCAAAGATCTTGCATTCATTAATTTAACATTTTTTTGATAAATTTTGTAAAAAAACTCTCATTAATTCTTAAGCTTCCATTTTATTCTATCTACTCTTTACAAGAGAATTCACCTTTGTAAGAACTTTTCTGTGAATCAAAGTTTAAATTCTTGAAAAGAGATTTTTGAAGTGAATTGTACCAACTTACTGGATGTAACAAGATTGGTTAATTGCAACAAAACTAGTCTAATCTTGTAAGTTGTATTAAGGTTGCAAACACCCACCTAAACTTGTGTTTATCATTGAAAAACTTAAGGGTGATATTGAGGATTAGATGTAGGCCAAATTTTTTTGGTTGAACGAGGATAAATCTTTGGTGTCATAATCTTTACTTCTTACATTTCTCTTCTACTCTTGTTACTTATTCAGCAAAATTTAATGTCATCCAATTCACCCTCCCTCTTGAGTGCCAGTTTTATCTAACAATGATATTCATCAAGGTGATGAGATTGGGGTGCATCTAAAATGAAATTTAAAAGTCTGTACTTAAAATTTTAAACTTGCAATTGTTTATATAAACATCATTTTTTAGCATAATAATAGTTATAAGATTATTTTTTACGAGAGTATGGCTGATGAAACATACTTCATAAGTTGCACCGAATGGGTTACTATATGGGAAATAGAGTCACAATAGAACTTAGTAAATGCACACACAGAGAAGAGAGCAAGAGAAGGAAATATTTATATTGACAAACGCATGAAGAGAGAAGACGATTATCATCCCCCTGCCTCCACACACAATGGGAGGAGTGGGTAACGAATGTTCATCCGATGATTAACATAATGGATCCCTCATTCAAAGGGCAGGAGAAAGTCACACTAAAGAGGCTAGGTTTATCACGTAAAAAGACCCAAATTTTCTCATTATTCCACTAAGATCCCATTCCATGATTGGACTTGTATTTGGACGTGGCCTACCAAGAATAATAACCCAACATCTTCATTTTAAATTGTGTGATATTTAATAAAATAATAATTTATTAAAAATATAATAAATAAGAATTACATTAAATGAGGACCTTGCGTACACCGAGCTTCTCCAATGCATGTACGTAGAAGGGGATAGACAACGTTTCCTTTCGGCTTTCCCATTACAAACACGACTTGATATAAATTTAAAAGCTAATTAAAAATATTTATTTCAACGAAGTTCTTCCCCTAGACGTCTAAGATTAAAATACTCTACAATACTGATATCAAAGGGAAAAAAAAAAGGTGGTCAGGAAAACATCTGATCGAGGAGTAAAACTAAAGCCATGGCAAAGCCAGGATCGAAGCCAGGATGAACAATCAACTGAAAAATCTCGATCCCAAACGAAACGTCTTTGGCAATGGCTTCTTTCCTCCTAATCTCAGCAACGACCTTGTCGGACGCATCGACCACCTTACATGTCCGATAAGCGTAAGAACCCTCCACCGCAAAATCATATCTCTTCTTATCGGACGCTTCTCTGTATACGTAAGCCTGAACTTTAGGTTTTCCCTGAAATATATTTACACGCTTCCTCACACAACATATCGGTCTCTCCTCTGATGACTTTCGCTGGTGGTTCCCAACTTCCCCTGCATATACGTTCCAGCTCTCTACTACTACTAGCTTCTGTAATAATCATCAAAGTTGTCTTCCCATTGTCAATTTATATATACATAAAAAAAAAAAAAAGAAAAAGATTGGCTTAAAAGATAATTTCATTTTAAAATTTAAATTTTTGAAAATTATATAATAGAGTTGCTACTGTTAATAAAAAATTAGTTAATTATAAAATGACATAAAAATATTTTAAAAATTATAGAAAAACTTAACAAATTATAAAAAAACCAAAAATTGCAGATAAAAACTTTTATAGAAAAGAATCAAAACTTAATATTTTTCTGTAATTTTTAAAATTCTTTTTTTTATTTTTTAGTTATATGAGTATCAAAATTTATACTCCCTTTGATCTTATTTATAAGTCATTTCTATTAAACCCATTAATACCAATACAATAAAAGTATAAGAAATAAAAGTAAATGAAATTTCAAATATAACCCTCAAATAAAAAGCAAAAAGTAAGCTAATCATATAATATTATTTTTTTGTATCTCTCCCTTTCTTACTTTTTAAGAGTAGTTTGAAAATTTTAATTTGAAACAAAATAATCTGATTAACTTAATGATTTATAAAGTAAATTAAATTATGTTTCTAGAAGGTAACTAATATTTAAAAGCCGGAAGAGTATTCGTCACGGTTCTCAAATGTTGTAGGAAAAAATTGCACAAAAAATAAATCTAAGATTCCTTATATTTATGGATTTACTGTCTCAGGCTCAAATATAAAATTATTTTTAACTAATTTTAATTCAAAATATAAGCAACTAGTACGTGCAAATTTTTTTTCATTTTATCACTTGCATTTATTAACTTAAATTTTTGTATAAATTTATCTTTTACTCATCACAAAATGCATTGCTAATTAAAATTAAAAACATCTAGTCAAAAAAATTAAAATAAAAAATAAAAAATATTTTTTTGAGAATAAAGAATTTATTAATGTACATTTAAAAAAAAACTTATTTTTTACAAAAAAATAGTACAATTTGATAATAAATTTATCATTTAATCTAAAATTATTTGTTTATCACCTATGCAATGGAAGAGCCTGTGGTCCAATCCACAAAAGGGGGGCTTTGGTGCGTAAAGTATGAAAAAAAATGATAAAGAAATTTCTTTTACTTAAATTAAGTTTTAAATATTAAATTTTAAAAATTTATAATTTAATTTTAAAATTTTATAATTCTATTGTGATATATTTATACTTTATTTTTTAAATTTTAATATGATTGAAAATAAAAAATATATTTTTTATTAAAATTTAAAAATAAATTATAAATTTATCTCAATAAAATTATAAAATTAAAAAAATTAAATTATAAATTTTTAAAATTTAATATTTAAAATTAAATTTAAATTAATTGGTCTTTTGAATTCAATATCATTCCCCCAATGAAAAAAGCATGAGATCAAAAGAGAGTACCTTGCTACGGCGGCGCACGGTGAGGACAGATTTTCCGGAAGCGTCCATGAGAGTGATTTCGTCGGGTCGGCCCATATAATTGTCGACCCGATAAACTAGATTGCCTTCAGAATCGATCACCGTGAATCCTTTACAGCTAATCAGAAGCGATTTTCTCCAAACTGTAAGTGATGTGCCCATTGTTGCTTCGGTTCTGGGATACGTCTTCTTCCTCTCATGTTGACGCTCTCGAACTCGTTCTTCGTGCACTGCTCTCGACAATGATCTGAACCTACACAACATTCTCCTCTCTAGATTCTGATTCTGATTCTGATTTCCTGAAGCGTGTGTGTGTATAGTGCTTAAACACGTTTCAATCGAGTATTTAATTGCAGGATTCTGCCGCTAGCAACGAGGGTGACAGAAGATAGTGAAACTGTGTACGTGGACCTGGATCTCTCAGTCCAAGATTTGCTTCTTCCTTCATGGATTGAAGTGATATTTAGAGAAGTTGAAAGAGAAAAGTGATCAGCGAATTGATGTTGAAATTTTCAAAGGTAACAAGTGGGGTAGAAACGCGACGCGTGGATGAATTCAAATCTTAAGTGTCGGAGAAAGTCTTTCCGTCTTTACATTTTTTCAACTCTCAACTAATATATTGACATCCCATGCTGGTTGCGTTTATGGGAGGATCGCGTTTGTGGTTTAGCATCAGAAGTAACAAACACGAAATAGTCAGTGCAAGAGGGCCACGTAGTGCCGTCAAACCTTTTACCATTTTATGTTAGTTCAAGGTTCCAGGTTAAAACGCCTTCAAATAATTAAAATGATGGTATTAAGAGAGAATGGCATCCAAGGCTCCCACATCGAAAAACATTTGCATCTAAAACCCAATATATTGTTATTCTGCAATTCAGATAAGCCTTATATGCAAATATAATTCATGGTGAAAACACTCATTTATTTCTCATTTAAAATATACAAGTTTTCTAAGTTCATAAAAAGATAAGATATATATATTAACAATACAATATTCATTCATTGTAAACAATATGTGTGGTTTAGTTGAATAATAATGTAAAAATTTTTTTACATGTATGAACAGCAGAATATTCATATATAATATGATAAAATTCATATATTAATAATATAATATCCTGTGTGTGATGTTATTTTTCAAGTGAGGAAAAAATGAATCTTTTTACTAAAAAATATATTTATATGTAAGACTTTTAGGCTCGAATAAATTAAAACTATAGTGGCCTTTAGGTGTTAATTTCTTTGACATGAAACCTTTGATGCTATTTCCCCAATAATTATGTAGGCTTGTACTAAAACGATAATAATATTATTTTAACGAAGAGTGGTTCAAAGATTGATTAAATGAGTAATTCAGCATCCTAATCAATTTAATATTGCCAGATTCTGTGAGGCGAGTTTCTCTTTACTATCCCCCTTTTTAGGAGTCCGGTTTCGGTGCCATCGCCATGCTTATCATAAGAAAAGATATGGGCTATTCAGATTTTAATTTGTATTGTCCAGACTTTTTAATTTTAATTTTAATTTTAATTTTATAAAAATAAAATTTTTAAATTTTTTTAAATTTATAAATTAAATTAAATTTTTAATTTATAAAAATAAATTTTTTTCTACAAGGCTTAAATTTAAAATTTTTATTTTTATTTTATATTTATTAAAATAAAAAATTATTAAAAAATTTAATATTGAATCTGTCTTGTCCAAAGTACATCTAAATAGTCAGTTTATGAAAATTATAATATTAAATTGAACCACTTAGAGTCTCAAATTAAATTAATATTGTCCAAATTGATGATGAATATATTTATTAAAAATTAAAAATTTTATTTTTATAAAATTAAAATTAAAATTAAAATTAAAAAAATTTGAACCATCTAGATTAAAATTTAGATGGCCCAGATCCTTTTTCACGATGAATACGACGGTGCTGAGCAGTAAAACTGGACTCCCTTTTTAACTCCACTACAATGTTTTAAAACTCAGACCAATAGCGAACCAGAAAATGTTAGCGGGTCACGGGTCTCATGGTTGAACCGTTTGGACCGGCAGTTGGACCAGTGACCTAATAATTAAATAAAAAATAACACACACATATATATATATTTAAAATATCACCTAAATCTTTAATACAACAAGCTAGCAAAAATATATCACCACCCAAGTCTTTCAAAACACTTAAGTCATTAATACAACAAAAACACCATAATATGTTCTGGTCAAGTCATTAACATAATGCAACAAGTTCACAAGTACAACAATCTACAATCCACAAGCCTAACATTATAAGATAACTAATAATTTCATTACTTGCCAAAGATATTGGCAGATCTTTATCAACCACTTGATTAATCCAGGCATGGTTAGGCTCGAAAGCATCAGCATCTACGTTGTAACTATCATCATCTTCCTGACCAAATGATCCTAAATCAATCCCTTCACCCTCTACCACATTCACTCTTTGTTGATCATCTTTATAAACAAATGCATCAAAGTGATCAAACCAAATTAAAGCATTATTAAGAGCAATATAATAAAAGTGACAACATGTAATAAAGCTCTCAAGAAAATTCATATTCAAACCTTCCTCTTCCTGCTGCGAAATAATATCTCTTGGTAGTGTTTGCTCATCATAAAGGAGATCTCCTTCTATCTCATCAACATGAAGTAAAGAAGGATCATCTTCTTCCATTACCAATACTCAATTTTATCAATACTTTCAAAATCAACAGGATCAATTGCTTTTCTCTTATTAGCAACTCTAAAATACACATGACAATAGCAAACTATAAGAATTCATTCATTCCAATCTTTATGAATGCAAATTAACACAAAGCTTTAAATAATATACATATTCTTTAAGCGAAAATTGTAATAAACATATACAAGATAATTCAACCTTTGATGCTCCAATCTATTCCTTTTCTTAGAGTGTGTTTTTTCAAAGACACTCCAATTCCTTTCACAACTTGATGAAGATGCAGTTTGACTTAACAATTTAATAACTAAGTTTTTAACATTCGGACAACTACTTCCAAAATATCGCCACCATTCATCTGCCATATTAAAGGTAAAGTTAGTAGAAGAGATTTTACAAATAAAGTTGCAAGATAATAAATATGAAAGATAAATATATAAATCTTTACTTTACTAGGTCGCATTGATTTTGCAGATTCAATAGCCAATGGATAACTGAAGCTACCACTCTTTTTTTGATATTGTGTGCCTTCTTGTAAGAACTTGGTCTTATTAGAAGAGACTATCTTATCTATAATAGTAAGATATCCTTGCATAACCTCTGGCTTTTGAGAAAAGTTTTCTTTATCATAAAGAAAGGCAGGATTAAAGACATAAGCAGCTACATGAAGATTTTGTCGGAGCTGAGAATCCCACCTTCTCTTAATAATCCTTGTGTAAGGCTTGTACAAATATTTTTTCTTCAAAAAAGTATTCTTTATAGCTTTCCTTGCCCTATACATACCATCATAGACATACCCAAGTGATGGCCTATTATTAGAATCAACAATTTCTCAATAATCAGATGAGTGGTTTTACAATTTCAACAATAATTTTACAGTCATTCCAAAATTTGTTGTCCAACACAATCATTGTCACATCCTTAGCCTTTTGATCCTTAGAGTATCTAGAGTTTGTAAATGCCTTACTAGTTATCAAGGCTTGTATATCATGCTTGTACTCATAGATACTCTTCAAAGCAATGAAAGTAGTGGCAAACCGTGTGGCCCCTGGGCGAATAATTTCTACCCAACCCTCTCTTTTCTTAAACCAAGCTAGCAAAAATGCATGGTTATATATGAATTTTAAAACCACAGATGCATGTGCTGCTAAACTAGTAATAATTTCCATCTTACTTATGTCTGCCAAAATCAAATTTAAGCAATGGGCAGCACAAGGAGACCAGAAAATAGAAGGGTACTTGTCATTTAATAATCTCCCAGCAACTTTATAATTAGCTGCATTATCAGTTACTAGATGAACAACATTATTTGCACCAACAAATGCAACCATGTCCATGAATAAATTGTAAAGATTTTGAGCATCTTTAACTATATTTGAGGCATCAACAGATTTAATAAAAACAATTCCTCTAGGACAATAAATAAAAAAATTAATCAACTACCTATTTCTTTGATCTTGCCAACCATCCGCCATTATAGTACAACCAGTTTCAACCCAAAAACTTCTGCATTCATCAACTAGTAACTGAACCTCCTTCTTTATGTCTTGCAATATTTTACTTCTCGTAGCATGGTAATTTAGGGCTTTATAACCAGGACCAATAGCAACAATAGCATCTACCATAGGTTGGTAGTAAATGAAATTCACAGCATTTATTGAGATGCAACAATCATATAACCACCTACCAATAGCTAAATCAGCTCTATACAAAGCTTCTTTACCTGTAAATGCACTTCTTATTCCTAGTTGTGCACTCGGGTTGTCCTTGGGGTAAAGAACTTCTCTAAAGATTCAGATGCCTTCCTTTTTCTTGATTGAGAAGAACTTGGAACATTTGCTTCAATCACCCTTTCTTGAGACTGTGGAGAAGCCATTTCTTTCATATTTGAATCATTCCCCACAAATAGACTATCCTCTGTTTCTGTTGGGTTATCTTGTTTTTTTTGGTTTTCTTTCCCTCAATCTCTTTCAAATTTTCCTCTAATTGAAAGCGAACATCATGAGGCACATTTTTAACTAATGACATCTCCTCTTTTCCCAGTAAGGTGCTATTTCATTCTATTAATTCCCCCACCAGCAAATTCCTTTGCACAATACAAGCATTTTAAGCGAGGTTTGCCACCTTCCTTTTTGTATGGTATTTGAGCGCAATGCTCCCATGTAGGATCTGATTTAGCTTTAACAGATTGAGTAGATGTAGCAGTAGATGCATGATCAGATGACGACATTTTCTACACCTAAACAAGTAAATTAACAAATTAAAAGTAGACAGACTATATGAATATAGCCTTCCTATTTTGTCAATAAACAACTCTCGAGTCTCAAATGGATTAGGACAATATGAATATAATTATAACCATGTCCATGGACAACACAGTACAAGAGTCTCGAATGATTCAGAATTCAAGCATGATCACTAGAAAAAAAACTAAAACCTCTATTTGCAATAAACAACTCTTAGACAATAAAAAACAAATTCCTCTTCATCCATTCAGAAATCCTTCGTCTTGCAATAAACAGCGCAGATAATAAAAAAAAAGTTCATCCATTAGCATTCATTCATTGCTAATTTTATATTCAAAACCATGGCATTAGATTAAATTAGGCAGAGAGATAGATGAAGGAGATAGAAAATCTCACCAGAACTGAGAGAGAGAGAGAGAGAGAGAGATCAGCGATTAATGAAGAAGATGAAGAATGAAAGATGATGAGCTTGACACCATTTGACTGTCTCAGTGTCTCTGACAGCTGCATGCTTAGGCAAGAGTCAACCAAGAAGCCGAAAGCAAAACCCAAATGGATGGGAAGGAGAGACGCGAGACAGAGAGAGAACATAGAAGAGACCCACACTCCCACAGAAACGGTAAAGAAGACGAAGAAAGAAGTCCCAGATGGCTGACTGGTTGAACGGCGAAGACCCACAAATACAAAACCCAGACAACTGAGATTTGAGGAGGTGATGTGCGATGACTGACCAGAATGGCAGAACCCACCGTGCGAGACAGAGAGAGAACAGAGAAGAGAAGACTAAGACTGAGACCGTGAGACGCTGATGCTTGATTTCTTTATGAGTTTAGCTGTGACTGCGAGGCTGCGTGACTGTAGGCGTTAATAGCTTAATGTTGAATCTGGTTGTCCAGGCGAGAACCCGATAGCAATAAGGGTTTTTTTTTTTTATTTTTAAAATACCAATCTTGTCCCTCCTTTGACCCGCTTCTGACCCATTCAAACCCGCTCCGAGTTCCGGTTCTTTTCCGAGTTTATAAAACCTGTTCGATTCCAGACGAGCCAACCCGGGTCAATAGGTAATACGGGTTAATTAGTTGACCCAACTCGCTTTCTTTAACGAGCGACGGTCCGACCGGTCTGACCATTCAGGTCGGTTCGAGTCTTTAAACATTACTTCACTACTTTCTCATTATAAATATAAACCATTTAAATTAAATTTACTTTAACTCCAATTGTGGTACATTGGTACAATACCTTGTAAAAGTCAAGGGGATTCCAGTTTTCTATGGCAGGAATCCGACATTAGTTATTTCTGATGGCTAATAGCTACTGAGCCTAATTAAGTCGACGTGGAGATGATAAGATCAACATGAAGTGAAAAGCAATGGTATAAAGTATAAACAAGATGGAGGCCCCAAAGCAACAAGACAGGCCTTCACCGCTCGGCCATGTCTTTAGGCCAAGTGGGTCCCACTTAGATATCTGTCACTGTCACTTCCATTTGTGGAAAATGGATCTCTGCTTCGTGATTCCCTTGACGGCCTCAATTTCAGCCACGTGGCTTTTCCCACGAGCCAACTTTGATTCACCACGGTCACAGTTACTGCTGATTACGCCTTTCATTCCACCACCACCAAATGCCAATATCCGAATAAATAAATAAATACATAAGTGATGCGATGGATAAACTTTTTGTCGGGCTTTGTGAAAGTTGATGTTACTTTAGAGGAGTAAATTCCAAGTATAAATTATACACGTTCTATAATTAATTAATTTGTTTTTTTTATTGTATTGTATGCTAAATTGCTGATCCAGTAGGATTTGAATTATTAATGCAAGATGTTATTTATCACGAAAAGTTAGTAACATTAGTACAGTATTTCTTGTAGGGTCACGTTTGATTTGAAGTTATAGTTAAGCATGTGAGAGCAATATTGTATATATTTTTATATGGGAATTTTCCTCAATTCCATATATTTAATCTTAGAACATAGAAGCTATCAGTTTAATGAAGATGTGTTTCACAACTTTTATATACACACACATAAGTATTTGTTAGTTGATTATTTGTAAGTAATTTTATAAATAATTTTAAAATTTATAAGAGAAGGGGCAGTTTGTTTTAAATTTTTTAAAAATAATTTTAATTAGTTAAGCTTAATACTTGAGTTGTTGGAGAAATTAAGCTAATAAAAAATGTTATGAGGAAACAAATTATTTTTAGCTTTTTTTATAAACTATTTAAAATAACTTCTCAAAATTAGCTCTCTGTTTTTTTTTTTTGGGGTCAATACATTGTATTTAGCATAAATTCTATCAACAATGGACTTATTCTATTCAGTTATTTTCTCTACCCTTCTTCTCAAATTATCATTTCAACCTTTGGATTAATTTTTGAATGGTTAGAATTTAATACTTTTTACAATTTATTTTTAATTTTTAATTACAATCTTAAATCTCGAATTGTAGTAATCAGATTTGTTATATTTAAAATTTATTTATTTTTCATAATTTCACATTTTAATAATAATTTTATGAAATATTAAATCCTAACCATTTAAAAATTGATCCAAAGGTTGAGATAAGTGGAGAGAATATAAATGGTGAGAAGCTAAGGCCTATTTTGAGAATAATTTTTTTTTTTTAAAATAAAAAAAGTTTGTTTGATAATATATTTTTAAAAAGTGTTTTGAAGAAAAATAAAATATTATCTTAGAGAATAGAAAAACAAAAACATATTTTAAGTGTTTTGGAAATTATTATTTTGAAGAACAAGGGAGAATAAAGAAAAACACGGCCTGTTTGTCTTCTTTTTTTAAAAACTATTTTTGTTTTTGAAAACAAAATATTTAAAAATTTATTTGGATAAGTTTTTTTCATTTAGTTTTTTTTAAAATTATTTTCATTTTTTGTTTTTAAAAAACAAGAAAATAGAAACAACTTTGAGTTGTTTTCATTTTATTTTTCTTATTTTAAAAATTCAATACATTTGATTATTGAAAATTATAGTTAACTTAATCAATTTTCATTATTAATTACAACCATTAAATGCTTATAATCATCACTATCAATCTATTTTTTTAATTTTAAGACTATTTTTAATTAATATAACCAAAAAAAATTTATTTTATTTTGTTTTATAAATAATTTCAAAAATTATATTACAAAACAATTTTTAAAAACAAAAAGTGATAATAGAAACCAAACATGCCCTTATTTTTGCTATTTTTTTTCCTCATAATATGTTCTACAAAATACTAATTTTCAGAATAATAAAATAAAAATAGTTTCAAATAGCCTCTAAGTCCCTCAACAACTCTCATACTGTACCTTTTCACATTTAGGCTAAACAAAACAATTTTTTTAATCTTAACCTTCTAACTCTCTGTTTTGGTTGGAGTGAAATAAAGAGGAGGGTGGGGGAATGAGAGATTCTAATTAATTCATTTTTTTAAAAAAAGGTAACTAGATTTATAAAATTTTAATAAAGAGACGATGTAAATTAAAATCATTTGGAAAATTAATCAAAATCTTTTAATCACACTTTTTCATTTTTTTTTAAATTAAACTCATTAAAGCATCTCATTTCCTCCTTTCCTCTCCAACCAAAGAGAAACAAATCTGCTTCATGATCTTTCTATGAAGAACCAAGGAAACAACTCCATTAAACTTCTTTCCCCACCGAATAATGAACTAGTTTAGAAGGAAGTAGGCCGTATATGAGCCCATAAAGTAAGGTGAGGGGAATATAAAATTATTTGCTATGATATTGGTCATTAGCCCAACCTGGTCATGTTTCAAAAGCCCAAATCCAATAATGATATCTAGCCCAGTTAAGATATGATGAGATGGCTTCCCACCTTTATGAATTTTTATAGCAGCATATAAAACATAAAAAATCTTATATTTGAATTATGTTCGTTATATTATAAATAATAAATAATATATTGTGGATGTCATAACTCATATCTTCTAGAACTCCTTTATCTTTAATGTTCTAAATTCTAATGAATAGCTTGGAAGGAGCTTTTTATAGTTAATATCCTATAACTTTCACAAGTCACATAATGCACCATTATACCATTATACACCTCTTTATTTCTTTGTAACACTAGAATATGATTTTAATGGTTGGACGTCTATAAATAGAGGCTATGTTCAAAGTATTTGTACCTAATTAAATAAGAAATTATCTTCCATTGTTTTCTCTCCCACTTCTTATCTTGTTCTATTCTTCTCTATTTTTCATATTAGTTATATTTTATAACACATTATTAGCATGAATTAACTTTGAAAATAAGAATATGGATATTCCCCTTTCTTTCATTAGACACAAAAATGAAGATATATGCCTTATAGTGCTACAATGCACACCATACTTAAAAATAAAAAAAATATTTTCTTATTTAACAATAAGGGAGGAAGCCTCAATACCATAACAAGTAATACCAAGTTAATTGATGACTTTGAAAGAGAAATTATAACATTACCCAAAGGAACAAAAAGTATTATAGATGATGCATTACATTCATCTAAGTTTCGAAGAAACTTGTCAAGTTTTAAAGATATTTGCCAAAATGGATATCATATATATTGAGACTACAAATGATAAATATGTTGATTATCGGCATATTATAGATTTTAGATATAGAAAGGGATGTGTTCTAGAAAAATTATGCATGTTATCTTCTAGTTTGTGCTATATTAATATTAATACAGTTGAAATAAATGCAATAGTCAATAAGAAGTTTACTAATTAATATACATTCTTAGTTTGGCATGACTAGTTAGGCCATCTTGGGTCAACTATGATGTGAAAAATTATTAAAAATTCATATGGACATTTGTAAGGTTCCCCTTACTAAACCAACACTTAACAAAAACCTATACAATAATCATGAGACTAACCTAAACGGATTACCTTCTCATTTGAAAATGTATTAAAGTCAAAGTAATAAAAGTGGCATCCCAAGTTTTATAACTTTAAAACACTTTTGAT